AATTGCTTTATATTTAATCATAAGCAGAGTTATGTTTATAAGTGCCTTTGTTAATTTAATTTGCTAATGATGAAAACCTATATATATATAGAAATATATATGTACTCAAATGCTTTGAAACATGAAAAAGCCCAGGAATTTCCAGGGGTGAAAATTGTGAATTATTATATAAAAACAGCTACCTGTAAAAATGCTTTACTGCAGAACTCTATCATTATGCTTTCCCACATAATACATGAAATTTAATTTTTTTTTTTTTTTTTTAGCATCAGAGTAATTCTGTTCAAAAGTTATTTCCTTAAGAATCTCAAAAATTCTATTACTACCCAATTTCAGGGAAACAATGAAGTTATTTGAGGTAACACTGGAACGTTTAAAAGATTTAACATTATAGTTAGGAGTCCTGGTGTGGTGCTGTTGGATAAGTAAGTATTCGACTGCAAGGTTGGTTTGAACTGCAATGTCAGTGGTTCAAACTCACCAGCCATTCCTCAGAAATACTATACAGGGTACCTATGGACTATGGGATGGAACCGATTCAATGGCACTTAACAACAACATTAACAATAATAAAATTTGGCTGCCCGTAAGTATAAAGCTATTGTGCTTGGTAAGAATGATGATGTTGCAAAACCCAAACTGCATAGTTTTACAAAATGCTGTTTTTTTGTCAACTAACAGTAAATAAGTAGACATTCCTAATCTATTAACAAACAAATAAATATGTAAGAGACTAACTACTTGGACAAGTATGTAAAAACATTATGTATATCCCTAATGTTAACAAATAGACGTCAAGGTTTTCTGAAGTATCTGCATGAATGCCTCTGTAGGAAATAGCTCTGTTTATAAGGAACACTGGTGGATTACGAGCTGGATTGCTAACTGCAAGGTCAACAGTTTGAATCTACCAGTTACTCTGAAGGAGAAAGATAAGGCTGCTGCTCCCCTAAAGATTCACAGCCTTGGAAACCCTATACAGTGTTGCTACGACTCAGAACTGACTTGGTGGCACACAACCACCACCACAACCATAATAATATAAATGATAATATTATTAAGTAGCAATAATGACACTGTTGTTGTTATTTAGTGCTGTTGAGACAGTTCTAATTCACAGTGACTTTGTATGGAGTTTCTGACAAGCAGCTGATCAGTTTGAACCACTGACCATATGACCTTGTGGTTATCAGTCCAGTACTTATCCTACAGTGCCACATTTGTGGTTGTTGTTAAGTGCTATCGGGTTGGTTCTGACCAATAGCAATGCTGTATAGGGTTTCCAAGGAGCGGCTGGTGAGCTTGAACCATCCACCTTGAGGTTCAAACTGACTTTGCAGTCCAATGCATTAATCCACAGTGCCACACCAGGACTCCAACAATGACACTGGCGGTGGTGGTGGTAGTTGAATGCCATTGAGTCGGTTCGAATTCTTAGTGACCCTGTTTAGGGTTTCTGAGGCTGTAAATCTTTCTGAAAGTAAGAAAGCCTCATCTTTCTCCCTCAGAGAAGCTGGTGGATCCAAACATTAACCCACTACACCACCAGGGTGCCTTAATAATGACGATTGCTATTGCTGCTGTTGTTAAGTGCTATCGAATCAGTTCTGACTCATAGTGATCCTGTATAGGGTTTCCAATTGGTAAGTTAGAACCACAGACTTTGTGGTTCAAACTGACCTTGCAGTTAAGTCTTTATCCCACAGTGCCACACCAGAACTCAAATAATGACACTAGGGTAGCTCATATTTCATATCCATCTTATCTTTAGATTTATAAGCCAAATCAGGAAATACATACCAGATCTGTCTTTGGAGGATCTGAATACTCAGTGGAGAAGTAAGGGGCTGAACTTCTGACTCCACTTTCAGAGGCTGGCTTCGGAGGTTGCGCATGTTGTCTGTAAGTAGCACTTTTAGGAGTCCAACAAAACAGGTTGATTGATTCTCGCACACATCGTTCAATATCAATTTCTAAATAGGGTATTAAAAAAAAGCATATGCATAGAATTAGGCTTTCTATGCTTATGTAAAATATAAAAGTTTTCCTAAATGCATATATCTAAAAACTATATAGTTAAGATAATAACTAATCAGAACAGATGTCAGTAAAAAAGTAATAAAGATTTTACTCATATTTATGACTGGAATGGTATGGGATATTTGATGTTATTAGTTACATATATGCATACACTTGGAGTCTTGGTGTGACACTGTAGGACAAATGCTGGACCGCAGGGTTAGCTTCACTCACAAGGTTGGGGGTTCAAACTCACCAGCTCTTCAGACACTCTATACAGGGTCTGACTAGATGGTGCTTAGCAACAACATGCATATACTTATATTCATAAGTATATGTATGTGGCATGTATTTCAGTAATTACATAAATATGGAATAGAACACATCTCTTGGTATGGCACCTATAGGATAAGCACTGGACTGCTAACCGCATGGTTGGAAGTTCAAACCCACCAACTACTCCTTGGAAACCCTAAACAGGGTTGCTATGAATCAGAACCTACTCGGCGGCACTTAACGAGAATGACAACAACCCTAACTAAGAATCTACACAATTTACTCTGGTAAGATTTTCAGTTTCCCAATATATCAGAATTTGGAAATTAGCAGGCAAAAGATCAGATGTTGATTCACCATGCCCTGTAATAAATGTATGGAATGTTTCATTTCAATTTACTAAGGAAGTTGTAAAATGAATCAAACTCCCAATCCATCATTTCTCTCTTTCTTGTATAATTTCTTGAGTGACGTGTAGAACACTTCAGTGAAGTTTCATATGGAGAGACAGTAAATATACTTGATTAAAAATTTAAAAA